CGAAAGGTTGTAATCCAACAAACGAGCGATACCTTCGCTAATGACCTGAGCACTGAGCAGAGGTGTCATGTTCCGCTCAATGCCAGCTGTTTGGGCCGCGCTGTGTCCCGTCCCAGCAGCTCCAGCACGTGCTCGTCGTCGGCTCGGCCCAGCCATGGCGTGGCCTGCGCGCGCAGCCGTCTGCCGTTGCCGACCGCGGGTGCACCGACGATGCGCCCCTCCCCTCTCTGGCCAGCGGTGCGCCCCACTCCCCTTCAATCAGCGGCGTCGCGCCGGCGTCACTCGCGGCTCAGTCTGCACGGGTGTAGGTCCATCCGCTGCGACCCGACCCCAGCCGACATCTGGCGCGAGCCGGCGGTGTCTGGTGTGAGCGGAGGACTGGACGCAGCAGACGCGGCTCTGTCCCACCACCACTGACCGGCCACAGCGGCGGCTGGCGGGGACCGGCTGCGTTGGGCAGCAGAGTCTGACTCAGGAGAGCATCGATCGACGGCGGGCAGAGTGCCAGTGGTGAGCGGGGCCCGTCGGAACCGGCGACACCATGCAGGCGGCGTCAGTGATTGCGCGACGGGTTGTCGGCCTGAGGTGAGCGAGGCAACTCATTACTGGTCCTCTATCGGGCCTACAGGGGTACCGACGTAGATACTGCGCCACACACCCGTTACGTGATATATCGATCGTAATAGATATTTCCATGGCTAGATCGATATTACCATGACTTCACATAACAATATTGATTTTTCGTGTGCGACCAAAGGATCTCTCCCGACGTCATCGCTATGGTTAAGCTGATCCACAGACCTCTGTATTCCGAGGTCTACGGACCTCTGTATTCCGGGGACTTCAGACCTATGTATTCCGAGGTCCATGGACCTCTGTATTCCGGGGTCTACACATTTCTATGTCAATATCGATATACAGATGTTTATGGTTCGTCAATAAGCAAACTGTGTGACACGATATTGCATAGGCGTAGGAACCGGGGGGGGGGGCCAGGGGGGCCACGGCCACCCCACCATTTTGGAGTGGGGGGGCCAGTAATGTGTGTGCCCCCCCCCCCCACTTTTGAGAGCACTCCAATGTCTGAGATTCGCTCTTTACTTTAAACACGATTCAACCAACTAAACACAAAAAGATGGGCCACGGTGCCGTTTCTGTCACGGATAATCTGTGCTTTGCAGGTAGAATTAACACCGTCTAAAACATGCAGCAGTTTAGCGATTTAGCGCGTAAATTTTCAAATTCAGCGCAGAAGAGACATATCTGATATGTTTATTGCGCCAACCGGTTTCGTTTTGTGGATCTGGTCAAGGCACTAAGATGAAGATCTGGTTTGAGTCAGGTAGAATTTAGAAATGAGATGGATATAAGAAGTTTTTTTTGCGAAAAAGGTGAGTGTGTATCTGGTGAATATACATATTGCATGATTAATGCGACCTTGACAGGGGTGGAGAATTATGTAAATCCCAGGGTTGCCTTTTCTGGACGGACCTATGCACCTACCACTGGCGGATCCAGGGGGGGGGGCCACGGGGGCCATGGCCCCCCCCCCCCCCCCAAAGGGCTAAAGTGGCCTGTTTGGCCCCCCCCCAAAACGTCAGAAAAATTTCTAAGAAAATATACCTTGATGGAGGTTTTTAGCCACTTGGTGAAGTAAAGTTTCCACAGCATAATATGGAAGCAATATGGTAGCAGTGAGGGTCAGTCAAAAGTTGCGCGAGCGGAGTCGACCTTCAAAAAAGACTGTTGTTGGCACGTGTTTATGGCGCGGCAGCTGGTAGTTGGCGGCAGGGCTGCGGAGTCGGAGTCGGAGTCGGAGTCGGAGTCGGTCGGAGTCGACAGTTGTGACCGGAGTCGGAGTCGGAGTCGGAGTCGATTTTAGAAACCCGAGCCGGAGTCGGAGTCGGAGTCACCGAAAATCTGTCGACTCCGCAGCCCTGCTAGGTCTGTGAAGTCGGAGTCGGGAGTTGGAGTCGGTCGGAGTCGACAATTCTGCCCGGAGTCGGAGTCGGAGTCGGAGCTGGTTTTTGAAAGCCGGAGTCGGAGTCGGAGTCGGAGTCGCCGAAAATCCATCGACTCCGCAGCCCTGGTTGGCGGTGTTTCGCGTGGTGTGGCATCACTGGCGGATCCGGGGGGGGGGGGGTAGCACGGGAGCCTGAGGTGCCCCTGACAGGCCCGTGGTGCCCTTGCTAGGCCTGTGGTGCCCCTGGACCCTGGCAGGCCTGTGGTGCCTCTGGCGGGCCTAGGGTGCCCCTGCTAGGCTGCTGATGCCCCTGGGACCTGACAGGACTGTGGTGCCCCTGACAAGCCTTAAGTGCCCCCAACAGGCCCGTGATGCCCCCGACAGGCCCAAGGTGCCCCTGCGGCCTGCGTGATGCCGTGATGCCTGCGAGGCCGGTGGTGCCCTTGCGAGGCCGGTGGTGCCACTGCGAGGCCGGTGGGGCCCCTGACAAGCCCATGGTGCCCCTGCGAGGCCGGTGGTGCCCCTGCTAGACCGATGGTACCCCTGGCAGGCCTGTGGTGCCCCTGCTAGGCCGCTGGTGCCCCTGGGCCCTGACAGGACTGTGATGCCCCTGACAGGCCCAAGGTGCCCCTGTAAGGCCGGTGGTGCCCCTGTAAGGCCTGTGGTATCCCTACTAGGTCTCTGGTGCCCCTTTGACAGGCCCATGGTGCCCCTGCGAGGCCGGCGGCGCCCCTGGCAGGTCTCTGGTGTCCCTGACAGACCTGGGGTGCCCCTGACAAGCCTGTGGGCCCCTCACAGGCCCGTGGTGCCCTTGCTACTTGCTAGGCCTGTGGTGCCCCTGGCGGGCTGGTGGGGCCGCTGCTAGGCCGGTGGTGCCCCTGACACGCCTGTGGTGCCCCCGGGCACCAAGGGGGTCATGACCCATGTGGCCCCCCTTGGATCTGCCACTGATACATAATATATTGATTTGTAAAGGCGTTATGGCTTATGCAATATGCAATTGCAGGCACTTGGTATGCCTCACTTATCCCTTATTGGGGGCTCTGGCGGGCTCCTGAGGGCCCACGTCTATCTCCGGGAGCCCTTGACAGGCTCCTTTGGGTCCTTTCAGTCCACTATAGCATAAGAGGTCTCCATGCGAGTCCTATACATCTGAGGGCGTACCCTGACGTCTGAGGTACCCAACTGCAGCTCCAATGGTCTCTTACACTGGCGGATCCAGGGAGGGGGCATTTAGGGCCATGCCACCTTCCCAGAGGTCTAAAGTGGCCCGTTTGCCCCCTCCCCCAAACGATAATGAAACATAGTTCAATCAGTGCGTGGCCTAGGAGCCGAGTTAGACAGGGGGTGTTTTACCACCTCCCGGCCCGCAAAGGGACCCAAGCACTGACTCGAAGCGGGTTAACTGGTCGACAAAAGCAATGGTAAGTGCCACAGATAACAGTAGTACTGGATTGGAAACAGGATTCCGGTGGCTGCAGTAAGAGGCCGAAAACAGAACCGAATATATCGTGCCCATATTTCGATATCTCCTCTCACAGGCAACAAAAAATATTGGTTTATGTGAATGAAACTTATAAAGAAGCAATCGACTAGCCGTGCTTGTGTTTATTGCTGCATTTTTGCATAATGGCAACTTATTTTACTAAACGTTTTTTTACGTTTATTTTACTTATTTTACTAAACTCATTCCCCTCCTCCATTGTTGATGTACCTATACGTATGTAAGGCTTTGCACCACAATTTTTTCAAAAGAAAACACCACGCATTGTGCCCTCTAAATGATCAAATTAAAAGTGAAATACTTTAATTTTCAAGCAAATGAAAGTAATTTTGGTAGCTTCGATTTTAAACGTAAACGACAAAACGCAAAAAAGACGATTTCTTGCAATACACAACACACAAATTATCCACCCAGCAGCACGCGAGAATCTCATTTTGGCGCCGTCGCATAAAAACATTCGGCCTCTTACTGCAACTGCCAATATTCTGTTTCCAATCCAGTACTACTGTTATCTGTGTAAGTGCTTACAAAGTAATATAAAGGCATGGGTCGGGTGGGCTACCATTTATATGTTTTTCTTTCTAGTTAAAAAAAAATCATAGTGTCGGGGCTGTGACGAAAAATAAGTGGCCTAAATCCGTTGAGAAAACAGGATTTGGGGGTACCCTAGGTTTGGCTCCAGCATGAGTTGGCCCCCCCCCCCCCCAAAACGCAAGCCTGGATCCGCCAGTGGCACCTACCCTACCTACAATTTCCCCAATTTCATTCAAAATTAGCTACAAATGAAAGGTTGCCTTTTGTTCATGGGTACCTTTGGAAATAAGAGTGTGTTTAAGAGAGTGTGATAAGAGAGTGTGAAATAAGTGTGTGGAAATAAGAGTTTTTCGTCAATAACTAGGTACCGATCAAATTGAGCTAGCGAGTCGGGAAAGCCACCTATGGACTCAAGAAGACCTGCCGAATCGAATGATATGCGACATGACCTCCTTCGACCAATTTCGTGACCTGGGGACGCCGACCTGACCGTGACCCGAGGTCAACACCCTAAGTTTACCTCACCCAAACAAAAAGTATATCATTCGACGCGCCTGAGAGAGGCGAACACGATGCTGGCAAAATCGCGGCTCTGCGGCCATTTTTTGCGAAGTTATTCACCAAAAACGGAACCGTGCCTTGAGGCACTTGACCTGACCTCAGAGGTCACCGGTTTTTGTTTGTTTTGTTGGGTTAGGCCCTTTCAGTCCAATGAGACCATTTCAGAGTCGGAAGGATGATAGGATATACATAGGGGGAGACATTGGTCTGGGCAGGCACCCTCCCAGCCAGCAATTCGTCCGGGATGCGGTTGGGGACGGTCGGGATAGGCTCCGGATGTCCCAACTTGTCCCTACCGGGTTGGGTAGGCTTGGGTTGTCCCAATCGATACCGGACCTCGATGGCCGGCGGTAGGGGCGACTCGGGATTTCCGGACCGCATGCTTAATCGGTTGGGACGCGGTACGGATAGCCCAATCGAATCCCATGTTTAGACAGGCTTGTGATTTACGTTGTTATCCCAACCGATCTGAGAAGGCGCTTCGGGCACCATATCCGGTGGCCCAGAAAGTCTGGAAAAGCAATCAGATGGGCCGCGTGCAGGCAGACGCGTCCTCTGAGCGCAGCGGCCAGTCTAGCTGCCGCGTTGGTCAAGTGTCGATCCCTCCTTTGAGCTGCTGCATCAGGATATTGCTTTTGAACTGGCTCTAGCAAGCGGTCGGTTCAACTGTTGTCGTTCAGGGAAATCAGTCCGTCTTTGAGAACAGGGTGAGTATAGTGCACACTTCATCCGTGATGTAGGGAGCGGGAAAGCTATAGGTAATAGAAATTGTTATGTTCGCTGTGGTTGTACGGCATGTGAATTACACTCGTGCTGTCGCATGTTTGATCAGTTATCATGGACAGAAGATGTTTGGTCTCATTGTCAAGTGTCATTAATGGTTGCATTGTAGGTTTGAAACCTGAATTACCAGGCATACCATGTGAAATGTCTGATGTAGATTATTTCTTAGTGATTTTTAGTGTGTCCCAGACTTTGATTAATAACCTATTGGTCGTTTTCAGATGCTCTCTTCCAGACATGGGCACGGATCCCAGACGACCAAACACGAAAATCAAGATGGCCACTAGATTAGTGGACTTTAAGCATGGAATTATGGTGGAAAACATGGCTAATAGATGCCTCTCAATAAATCAACTATTTTGCATTCCCTCAGAGTTCACAGTTTTGAGAAAATCCCTCAAGATCCATCTCGGATCCATGGCCACGAATCATGGATCCGAGATGGATCTTGAGGGATTTTCTCAGAACTGTTAACCCTGAAGGAATGCAAAATAGTTGGTTCATTGAGAGGCTTCTATGAGCCATGTTTTCCACCATAATTTCATGCTTGAAGACCGTCAATCTAATGGCCATCTCGATTTCCGTGATTGGTTGTCTGGGATCCGTGCACATGTCTGCTCTCTTCGCACAGTGGTGAACCGCCCGACCAGATGCCAGCCGTCTAGTTTCGCGGTGGCTCTCTGAAGCTCGTGACGGCAGACGGACACACTGTCCGCAGAGGAGCCGACACGAACAAGGCGCAGGCCTGCTATAATGACTGTGAACACCGGAAGTGAGTCCGCTGTGCCAGCGCCTTGCAGCGGCGCTAAGATGATGGCCGACGCCACGAATGTGCTGGCCAGGCTGTGAATTTGTGAAAATTTCACCTGTGTGCAACCAGTAAATTTGTGAATATATTTCAGTGTCCAATGTAATTCATTTTGTCGTGCAGGCATTATAAAGGTTGAGTTGGAGAATAATGAAGAGGCGAGGGGGTTGCGGTGGCGCAAGCAAAGTGGTCGCATCTGCATAACAGCAATCTGCGGTTATAAGACTGCGGTTAATATGTCAGATGCCTGCGGTATTCCCAAACCGGCCGTGCGGGCCGAGTTGGGACATCCCGATCGGGATCGGAGTTCATCGCTTGTTAAAATGCCATAAGGCGGTCCGGATGCGTGCGGGATTTCCGAACCGGTTGTACGGGGAGATTTGGGGAATCCCGATTGGGATCGGAGTTCAGCGCTTGTTAAAACGTCATAAGGCGGTCCGGATACGTGCGGAATCTCCCAATCGACCGTGCGGGGTAGGTTGGGATATCCGGACCGTTCCAGCCCGTACAAAGTGTCTCATTTCCCAATCCCGTCCCACTCCGGTCCCGATCGGGGTGGTGCGGGCTGAGTCCGAAAATCCCGATCGGGAACGGAGTGGGATTGCTGGCTGGGCTAGTGAGTTGCCGGGGCTGAGCCCGTCCAGAGGACAGGCCACCCAGCCCCAAGGCACTCACTGCACCCGGCTACGGGGTGCGCTCCCTCGGGAGCAGCGGTGCCGCTCCAAGGGAGCAGCCCGCATGAGATAAAGTTGCCTGTCCAGCCCGGAGGGGGTTGCGGTGTGGAGGAGAAGGATTTCAGTATCCTGAGGATAGAAGCACGGAACGGTGTCAAAGGTCACTGGTTGACCTAGGACCATAAAATCGGGTATCGATCTCTGCGTCTCGTAACGGCGCACACGCTCGTTTTACCGCGACGCGCTAGCTCCACCTGGGGCGAAACGGCGAGGGGGGTCGTACCCGCCCCCCGCCCCCTCGGCCAGCGCGTATGTAGAAAACCTATAGGACCGGGCCGTGGAGGGTTAAACTGGCCTCTGAAGGCCCAGACCGTCTAAAAGTCCCACACCGGCCTCTGATAAGTGAAAGTCAATCAGCCCAGTTGCAGTCGTCGCTGATATAAAACCTCTTAAAACGTTATAGGCCTGGCTGAGCCTAGCTGGGCCGTTCATACTGATTTTTAAACTGGCCTCTGAAGGCCCAGACCGTCTAAAAGTCCCACACCGGCCTCTGATAAGTGAAAGTCAATCAGCCCAGTTGCAGTCGTCGCTGATATAAAACCTCTTAAAACGTTATAGGCCTGGCTGAGCCTAGCTGGGCCGTTCATACTGATTTTTATAGGTATATTGAAAAGACTCGCTTTGCACGTTTCACGCTTGCTCGTAATGAAAAAGTTGCTGGATGCCTCTGGAATTTGCATGGGTGCCAACGGCTGCGGAGGACAGGGGAACGCGTCCATCAGTTTGAGTTTATGGACGGGAGAGTGGAGACTCCCTGAAATTTCAACCAATTTTTTTCTTTTTTTTTGTCTCTATTTTTTTACCTCTGAGCATGTTTGCGATAACAAAGTGGCCGAAATCCGAGGAGAAATCGGATTTTGGGGGTAGGTTAGGTTTTGGATCTCTGGGACCCTGGCCCCCCCACTTTCGAAAACGTTCCTACGCCTATGCGATATTGTTTGTTTTGTTTTGTTTTGATATCTCGAGCTGACCACAAGCAACGATGCGTCGTGGACGATCTTTCCTGCCGCAGCTGAAACGTATTTCAATCCGCGCCCTGCTGGGGGAGGGGGTGTTTGCCCCCCCCCCCTAATGGGTTTTCGCGATTATCTAAAAAAAAAACTCGTTTTTGGCACACTTAGTCATACCTAAATCTTTTTTTTGCATACGTTGTGACAATTTCAGACCAAGTTCACTCAAGGTCAGGTTACCTGAACTTACAAGTTCCCGCCATGTTACACCGAATAACCGATCGCTTTGAAACTTTCAGCGATTGATAAGAGTAACAGTATGTACAAAATGCATGTCCGGAATTTCGATAACGGTGACCCAAGGTCAGATTAATTATGCGATATCTCCATTATAACTTATAAGGCAATAGGACAAATTTCGAACACCGAATTATAAGCAAACATGGCACAATGAACTGGAAAATGGCCTCAGTGACCCCTGTTTATGCCCCTGAGGTCATCTTAGATCACGAATGGTATCTTATCACGAACAGTTTATATCACGAACAGTTTTTTTCGCGAATCACTTTGATAGAGCCAAGTTAGAGCACTGGAAACGCCTTAGATGTGTTCAGCTTGACGATACGGATCGACTGATATACAACATAACCTTTTCCAGCCACGTCATGACCTTGACCTGAGGTCAAATTTTCAAGTAGACCTTTCAAGGTCAGATTAACTTCATCCGATGCGTCTTGACGAGGGGAATATGATGCCGGTAAAAGTAACCTCGTGCAAAGTGTGAGTCAACAGTTATTGGAGAGAAAAAAACTTTCCGCAAAAATCGTCTATTTTGGCAGTTTTTGCACCCTACAGGCAAAACCGTTGACCTTTGGTGAAACCTGAGACAATTACTCAGAAAGAATGTAAGTAGGGCTATCAAATGCACTTTTCCGGGGCGCTTTACTTCAATCGGTTTCTGAGTTACACGCCAGTTTGTTGAAAATTGTTGACATTCGACCTGAAAATCGGCGAAATTCGATCTTCGATGACCTCTGGTGGCCTGATCTTTGACCTGACCAAAAAAGTTACCGAAACAATTTCGTCATTCATTTTTACGCTCTTTCGAACGTCGCCTATCCCGTATTGCTACATGGTCTAGGAGCCGAGTACGAAGTGAGGTGTTCAAACATCCCCCCCCCCCTCCAGCAGGGCGTGGAAGTCCACGAGCCCCAATGGGGCGTGGGTTAAAAGCTCACGCTGTGCCCCTACCACGAACACTCAGCAGTCCGGTTATTACTGGCTCGCGTGCCGTTTTTTCATGGGGCAGGGACCTCTCAGTGTCGGTTGACCCTCCTTCATGCGAGATAAACATCCCGTACTTTCAGCTGTTGGTGCCCCCGGCCAGCACAGGGGCCTGACGCTGTCGTTTTTCTACGCCGTGTGTTTATGTTGAGAGGCATGCCAGGCTCCGGTCCAGCGGGCTCGACTGAACCACTGGCCTTGTCACACATATAGGTACTGGAGCAAACGCATAGACCGCAGTCTACATATTGTTGGCTTACATCAACGTTGTCACAGTCGTAACTGATCTCATTGATCGACCATAAATACGAGTGTCAGATATCACTGACTGGCGACTGATGTTTGCATTTCGTTCCAGGGGCTGCACCCAGGTTCGATGCCTGACCTCTGTCGTGAAGGATTCTGGACTGCCGGACTTCAATGTGGTCAACGAACCTCTGCTCAGTGAGACCCTTGAGCAGACACAATGCTAGGTTTAGGTAGACCGGTGTGTTGGTTAATAATTTCTTGGGAGGTGCCTACTTGATCGTTGGCTCATAACATATGTCTTATATTGCAACTATATTGATGTGTGTGGTTAATCACAACCAAAATAAAGATGATAAAGAACACTAGATGGAAACCATTAACAAGTCACGTCTACGTTTAAATACCCGTACTCCGTCTGTTGACAGTTCCCAGCTTCCCCGAAGCAATATAAATGCATCCGCGAATCGTGAGCCCCGAACCAAAACAATAGTGCTGCAACCGTTTGTGAAGGTTATCGCGGCTTACCAATGAGCCGAGCCCCCGTCCGGCCTTGTCTCATACCTTTTTCGAGACCGCGAAATGCGCAGCAGCATATAGTATCACGACCACCGACCTGTCTCGCCCTGTCCGAGCCCCCGACCGGCCCCCGTCAGCGGCCAATCAGAGTGAGAGTTGCAGTCACATGACTTGGAGCGGTGAATTCTCATGGCCAATGTGAGGTGCAGCGGGACTACAGATGAGACAAACGGTGACTGACCGGTTCTGAAATGGGCGAGGGTCGTGATTCCCTGAATGAGGAGGGGGCAAAGGAGACTGATGCTATCGAACTTCACCGGTATAAATAGCCACGACGGACGTATACATAGACTGGACTGGCAATCCTAATGGACCTCCAATAGAAGATATATTTGAAGCTCACAAGGCGAAATCTTACCGTACCAAAAATGCATATTGCATATGGTCATCAAGGCTATGCAATTCGGATTGCGTCTAAACGAATGGTCTGATCGAAATAACTGGTACAGTTCGACGTCTAATTTTGACACAAGTTCACAGGTGACCCGACCCATGTCGTTGTTTGCCGCAGGCTACCTGCCGGGTAGCGCGGAGCTGCAGCAGCTCGAGGCGGCCCTACAGAAGCACGGCGCCACCGTGGCCGAGGTGCCCATTGTCATTGGCGATGAGGAGATTCGTACCGACCTGGTGCGCTACCAGCCGCGGCCTCACGACCATAAAAACCCCGTGGCCAAGTTCTACCACGCCACCCCGGTGAGTAGTGCGTGCTCTTGTTTTCCTTCGTCTGCAAGTATGAACCTTAGCTTGCCCTATCGCCGATAGGTCAACTTATATCGATGTTTTACATCTACACGTGCCTAAATCGAGGGAGAGGGGTTAAGATTCACGACTGACCTCGCCGTTTCTTTGCTTATTGAGCCACAGTCTCGCGAGAAAAAGAAGTTTGCTGGTAGCTGAGAGTCGCAGAGATTTGAACCAAATTCGAAGGACACCAGCCAACGACTCAAAAGTTGATTTTTGTTTCGGTAAATAATTTTGGTAAAGAAATCTTGCATGACAATGAATTTGGTCAATTTCACGGTGTTTGTTATGTCGAGAGGCATCATATGCTACACTTCTATTAACCCTCGCCCGCACATGGGGGGGGGGGGTTGCCACCCCCCCCCCCCCCAGGCAGTCTTTCTGCTCTGCACTCAACATTTTTAGAGCTAGAAGGCTGATTTTTCGTATAGCTGCTCGTCCATCCTTTCTTGATGTCCACTGAAAATTTCAAGTTTCTGTGATTTTTGGTTTCGGAGATATGACCTTGCTTTTCAGGTCATGTCATGACCCAAATGGCCAATTCTCAACATCTTGCGTTTGCCATGGGCCTTGTGAGCTTTTGACACCCTGATTTCGGCCTTTTTTGCCAGTCTTACCTCCCACCTATCATGGAACATGTTGTTCGACGATGTACAGGTGTCAAGGTCAGGGTCAAGGTCAACCTAGGTCATCTAAGATAATTGCGTTTTAGGCAAGCCGAATTTACTTTTTGTGAAGTTTTTTGACTGCCTTTTTGGTAAAGGCTTCTCAGATCATGATTTCATGTGATATGAACCCAAAAACAATCGGTGCACACATCAGTATACACACAGACACACACAGACATACAAACACATATAACTGACCTTGACCTAACTTGACCTGAAATGTCCTCAGCAGCAAAATTCTTGTCGGATAGTGTGACAAAGAGGTTCTAGCTGGCTTGGCACCAGAAAACAGCATCGTCATCGGTATTTGATAAGCAGCGCACTTGATATCCAACGGTGACCCAAAACAGCAACATTTTTTAGTTTGACCTTACCTGGAAGGTCAATGACTGACCTGAGAAGGTAAAACTGGGTATCATTGGATTCGTCTCTTCCCAAAGAATCTTTTTGGTCTTTACTGCTAAGCTCTATCTCCAACAGGAACGAAATGGCGCGGGGGGGGGGGGTGGCAACCACCCCCCCCCCCCATGTGCGTTCTAGGATGGGAAAATGGCATGTGCGGGCGAGGGTTAAAAAAATAAAAAATGGATACTGAGCGTAGCTTAGGTCAAGGTAAGGTCATTCAGCGCCACTCAGACCGTTTATCAAGGGGATCATGCACATGCCATTTGAATCAACAGTTTTGGCTCATTCTGAGCTCTGCTCATGTCGTATCTGTTTCGCTTGCACAATTTGATCGGCTCGGGAGTTAATCTCGGCGAACGTGCCTGAGATGAGGTTAGTCATTCCCGGCGTCAGATAACCAGTTATTTATTTTCACATCGATTTATCGGTAGGTAGATTTATAGGTAGGTTCGAGGTCACGTGTTTGACCTGACCTCACGTGACCCGTGAGCATAATCCGAGATACACGGCGGCGTTTGTTTATAAACTGATCGCACATGGCCAGTGTGACAGCCGCCCGGATGCCTACCTCGTCAGTATGTAGTTACGAGATCTGGAAGTGTACCGCCTAAAACAGCCGCCGGCTGCCAAGCCGGACTGCCGCAGGGGTCGGCCGGCGGCGGAAATTTCCACTCGGGACGCCGCTTGGCGCCCGCGGCGAACGGGAGACGTCATCACCAGGGGCGGTCTCAGCGCACCGAATGACGGGGGCACGGCGAACACACGGCAGGGGTTAAAGGGACACTCCCACCTTAACATTAGTTTTGAGTTGAGATAGCCAAATTGGTGGCCATGGCCTGCAAATACCGGTTTGGGCACTCACAACATCGACAAATGCTTTAATTCGGAGATATGGAATTTCAAACTTGCAGTTTTCGGATTCTAAGGGGCTAGTGCATTGGTATGCCCCCTTAGAATTTGTGACGTCAGCGGAGATCTAACGATTTTTAAATCTTGTACTAAAACGTTTGGTAGCACGCGGTGGTATATGCTGCTTTGCGCGCAACAAATGCCGCACTTTCAAATAAAGTCGCTAGGAACAGCGGAGATCCCAAAAAGTAAACAAAAGTAAAAGTCTAATATCTTGAAAACCGGTGAATATTTTTCGATGAAATTTGGTAGATATTCGTTTTCGCTCTTTCTGAACCGAGCCGAGCGACATCACTTTCGTGCCAATTCATTAACTTTTTGAAGGTGGGAGGGTCCCTTTAAAGGGACCCTCCCACCTTCAAAAGTTAATGAATTGGCACGAAAGTGATGTCGCTCGGTTCAGAAAGAGCGAAAACGAATATCTACCAAATTTCATCGAAAAATATTCAGCGGTTTTCAAGATATTAGACTTTTACTTTTGTTTACTTTTTGGGATCTCCGCTGTTCCTAGCGACTTTATTTGAAAGTGCGGCATTTGTTGCGCGCAAAGCAGCATATACCACCGCGTGCTACCAAACGTTTTAGTAAAAGATTTAAAAATCGTTAGATCTCCGCTGACGTCACAAATTCTAAGGGGGCATACCAATGCACTAGCCCCTTAGAATCCGAAAACTGCAAGTTTGAAATTCCATATCTCCGAATTAAAGCATTTGTCGATGTTGTGAGTGCCCAAACCGGTATTTGCAGGCCATGGCCACCAATTTGGCTATCTCAACTCAAAACTAATGTTAAGGTGGGAGTGTCCCTTTAATCTCACCCTCAACGGTGTATTGGGACATTTTGCGGCAATCGTATCAATGTTGTTTTCTGACGTCTGTCAAGATTCTGTGGTAATAATGCGACATGCATGCCAGTTTCTAATGCTGCAGGTAGCACGTTTTCTGTGTCGACAGACCGGAAGTACGACGCTAACTTCTTATTTCTGATCATATCCATCATGTTTTGTCACAGGAGATCGTGCAGAAGGCGATCGACAACAGTCTGTCGGCGCGTGAGGCGTGGGAGAAGGTGCCCCTGTCGGAGAAGATCGACATCTTCCACCGGGCGGCCGACATGATGGCCACCAAGTACCGGCAGGACCTCAACGCCACCACCATGCTCGGACAGGTGAGGGGAACGGGGATGATGTCAGTCATCGCCAAACGTCAGCAGTAGCGCTACCGATGCCGTCATTGTTACTGATCCCTGCTACATTGACCGTTTAACTTTGATTTGGGAAACGCTGATCCAGGGACGGCGCCACAGGGGGGGCAAGGGGGGCAGCCGCCCCCCCCCCCCCAACTCTGAACACTGGGGCCCTCTTTCAGCCAGCCGGGTCAGGTATGGAAGGAATGAGAGGGCTGTGCAGAAAGAAGACTTCTGGGCAGAGCTGTACAAATGACTTGAGTGGGGAATCAAGCCAAAGGGGGCCTTCTCAAGGTGCCAGCGCCAAGATAAAACTTACGGGCTTTGGCCCATGTTTTTGGAAAAGGGCCCAATTTAGCAAAAAAGGTGAAAGAAAATCATTTATTTGGTATCTTGGGTGATTGTGACCCTGTCCTATCTTCCCAGGCTGTAGAAAGGGCCCGGGCCAAAGAGGGCCCATGCCACATCTGAGAGGGCCCATTCAATATATGAAAGGGCCCAGGCAAGGTCTGGGAGGTACCATATTATGCCTGAGAAGGAGAGGGCCCATACCAGTCATGACAGGGCCCGCAGCGGTGCTGAGATGGCCCTTGGAAGGAGTGCGAGAGCCTGTAAAATGCCTCAGAGGGCCCATACCAGCCGTGACAGGGCTCATATCAGTACTGAGAGGGCCCACAGCAGGGCCCATAACAGTACTGAGGGGGCCACCACAAGTTATGTGAGGGCCCGTACCCTGACATATTACTGAGGATTATGTCAGTCAATGGCAATCATGGAAGGGCCCCAGCAGTACAGTGAGAGGACTGTTGCAATGACTAGGAGGGCCCGTACCATACCTGAGAGGGCCCATACCACTCATGCGAGGGCCTGCAGCAGTACTGAGAGGGCCCCCTTGCAAGAACTGGGAGGGCCCGTATCATGCCTGAGAGGGTCTGTACCAGTCATAAGAGGGCCAACAACAGTGCTGAGAGGACCATTAAAATGTCTGGTAAGGTCCTTAGAATCTCTGAGAGGGTCCATCCATACCAGGCCTCAGAAGCCCCACGTATTATAAAAAGGCCCACATCAAGCCTGTGAGGGTCCCTACCAGTCAATAGGGGGCTTTATCGGGCTTCAATGGCCATTCCAAACTGAGGATCTACCGAACTTCAGAAGGCCCATACCAGGCCTCAGGGGCCCAAACCAGGCTTCAGAAGGACCATATCAGGTCTCAAGGGGCCACGCCAGGTCTCTGAGGCCTCTACTAGGCCTTAGAAGGTTCATAATAGACTTGGGGACCTGACAGGTTTCTGACTGGGGACCTGACATCGTGTTCCTCTCGTCGAGCTATTCGCTGACATTTTGAAAATTTGACCTCAGGTCAAGGCCATGACCTGACCGGAAAGGGTCATGTTGCATATCAGTCGAACCGTATTGTCGAGTTGAATATACATCTGACGTGTTTTCATCGCTCTAGCACGTCTCTATCGAAAGTTAGAGCCAAAAAACTGCTGGTGACCGTTCATGACCTGAGATGACCTCAGGGGCACACAAAGGGGCACATGTGCATTTTTCCGATTCAGTGTGTCATATTTACCCATGAACCGATGTTTGAGAGGGTTTTGAACACCATTCGTCCACAAGAGGCGCATTTCAATTTTCTCCCATTGACTTATAATGGAGAGGTCGCAAAATTGACCTGACCTTACGTCACCGATATCGAAATTCCGAGATATACGTTTTGTCCATACTATTATTTTCATCAATTGCTGAAAGTTTCAAGGCGATCGTTTAGCCGGTGTAGCACTGACGAGGATTGAAACTTTTTCTGAGGTGAGGTCACTTGACATGACTTGGTGACCTGACCTTGAGAGCCCTGGGTCTGAAATTTTAACAACATGTGCGGAAAAGATGCATGAACAGGTGTGCAAAAAACAACGGCGCGAAGTACCGTCATTTTTTTAGATATCTGCGAAAAACCGCATGGGGGTGTTCAAACACCCCCGGCCCGGCGCGGGTTAACACAAAAGTTATTGTGTAGAAGGCAACGGTCGGTTGTGGAAATGATAGGGCAAGGTACAAATAAAGGCTTGCATAGTATTGACGGTTTTAACGATATTTCGGAAAGTTTGGGCCCCCATCTTGTTTGGGCCCTTTTTCTGAAAACCTGCCCCCGCAAGGCAAAATCCGTGGCGCCGTCCCTGCGCTGATCGAGTGAAGATCGTGTTGCAAAGCGGTCGTATTATTAAGAAAACTATTTGAAACGGTGTATTTGATTTTAAATCCGACATGTGCTTTGACAATCAGTTGAATAGCGAGTGTTCGGTGAACAGTGGGACGATATCGATGCTTTGTTTTCCCCGTTTCCAGTCCAAGACGGTGGTGCAGGCTGAGATTGACGCCGCCGCCGAGCTGGTGGATTTCCTCCGCTTCAACGCCTTCTTCGCCAAGGAGCTGACCAAGTACCAGCCCATCAGCGAGGACGCCTCGGTCACTAAGAATTCGATGCGCCTGCGCGGCCTGGAGGGCTTCGTGGCCGCTGTGTCACCGTTCAACTTCACGGCGATTGGCGGCAACCTGGCGTCCGCGCCGACACTCATGGTACGGCGCTACGCGATGATGTTATTGAGCTCGCTGTCCACTGGGCCTTACCGCTTCTCGCACTTATTAAATTTAGACCGTTACCTCATCCGTTTTGTATAGGTTGTAGTTGGTTGGCGCAAGAACTGACCGGCGTCCTTTTCTGGCTGTTGCTGAACCGTAAACGTTTAGTAGAGGCTGGCACGGAGCCATCTGGCAGTCAGCCAGTCAGTTTTCCGCGCAGCTGCGCCGCTACACTTCTGCGTTTCTGCGATGCCCGCCGGTCGGTTTTGTCAGTGTTTTTCACCTCAGCTGGGGCCGTCGGAGCCCGTCCTGGCCCTCCCTCCCCTCCCCTCTCCCGACTGCATCTGGTCAGCTGTTGTTTACATTCACCGCCCCCGTTGCCAGGGTAACGTGGTGGTGTGGAAACCGTCCGACACGGCTATCCTGAGCAACTACACGGCGTACCGGATCCTGCGCGAGGCCGGTATTCCGGCCGGCGTCATCAACTTTGTGCCGGCGGACGGGCCTGTGTACGGCGACACGGTAACAGCGTCTCCGGAGCTGTCCGTCGTCAATTTCACCGGATCGGTCCCGTGAGTACAAGCAGCAGCTACATAGGGCGGGGTGGTCCTTAGCGGCCGGCCGGTCATGAAATGAGATTTAGTTTGCATGGGTCATGGCCCATGGGATACATGTTTTGTAAGTCACATGTGCTAGTGGGCTCAGCCGCTCATGTTCCTCTGCCTTAGCTCCCGATGTCAGCTTTTCAACTACACAGCGTTTAGGTTTGTGCTAGATTTCGTGACGCATTTCTTAGCCACTGGCTATGACGTATCTGTCAACACGTTTTGTTACACAACTGAACCATGATTCCTTCCGGCAGCACATTCCAGCACCTGTGGAAGCAAGTGGGCAACAACATCGCGCGCTACCGCGGCTTCCCGCGGCTGATCGGCGAGTGCGGCGGCAAGAACTACCACTTTGTGCACCCGACGGCCGACGGAGCCACTGTGGCCGCGAGCACCATCCGCTCGGCGTTCGAGTTCGGCGGCCAAAAGTGCTCCGCCTGCAGCCGGCTCTACGTGCCGCGCAGTCGCTGGGACGAGGTGGGTGGCGCCACCATGGCGGTGGCTTCTCTGGTTTCTGTACCGGTCGAGATGTGACAAGTTGGAGAGGGGCCCTCTGAAATCGGGCACATTCCTAACAAAACAAAGTGGTAGATTCGGATGGACAGTAGTGAATCTTCAGACGTCATTACTTTAGACTTTATGATAAACGTTGGGGATATTTATACATTTTAAAATCTCACTAAATATGGATTGTGGAAAAGGTTGGCGCTAACATTAAGGCGTTACCTGCAGGCTATTGTAAATTTTAGACCGGACTCTGGTAAAGAGCATCCACGTTCATCAACAGCGTCAATACTGAGATGTTTTTGTTTCTTTCAGATCCGGACTCTAATGTTGAACATTCACAAGGACGTCAAGATCGGCGATCCGACGAAGAAGGAGAACTTCTTCGGCGCCGTGATTGACGAGAAGGCATTCCAGCGCATCAAGTCGTACATCGACCACGCCAAAAACTCGCCGGATCTGGATATTATCGCCGGCGGAGGCTGTGACGACAGGTACCTCAGAGTTCAAAGTGCCTGGGGTTCATCCGTGGAGATGTGTTCCAACGTTGACACGGATACGTATTCGTTACATTTGGATTCGCATTTCAGTCATAAACTACATGTACTCATTTTATTAACATTTATATTTTCTTACTGTGATCACTAGTCACACCTAGCGGCCGAAAAGATGGTTGTGTCTTGCGGTGCAGTATAGCTTCAGGCGCTTATTGTGTCGTGCGGTACAGTGTAACTTCAGGCGAGCATTATGTAGTGCGGTACAGTATAACTTCAGGCGCGCACTGTGTAGTGTCAAGTGTGGCACCGTATAACTTCAGGCGCGCAATGTGTCCTGTAGTGCGGTGCAGTATAGATTCAGGCGCACTGTGTCGTGCGGTGCAGTATAACTTTAGGCGCACACCACTCCTGCCATCTATGAGTGGGAATAGCAACCAGAGTGCTAGTCGCTAGAGCATGGCTTTTAGAACTCATGTGTTTATCGACCCCAGTAATTAAATGTCGGACACGGCGTTGGTTATTGATTGAATTGCCGTTCAATTGCATACCGAACCACATATGATGAACACCCATATCGCTAACACGTGAATGTCTCTGTCTCCAGCACCGGTTACTTCATCGAGCCCACGATCGTGGTTTGTAAGAACCCGTCCGACAAGATCATGCAGGAGGAGATCTTCGGCCCGGTGCTGAGCGTCTACGTGTACGAGGATGGTCAGGAGGCGGCCACACTGGACCTGATCGGCCGCTGTCCGTACGGCCTCACCGGAGCCATCTACAGCCAGGACCAGTGAGTTACCGAGATAGTGTGTCATATTGGACCTCAGTGGAGCCGTCTACAGCCATGGAACCAGTGAGTTACCGAGATAGTGTGTCATATCGACCTCACTGGAGCCGACTCTACAGCCAGGACCAGTGAGTTACCGAGATAGGGTGTCATATTGGACCTCAGTGGAGCCGTCTACAGCCAGGACCAGTGAAATACGGAGATACTGGGCGTAACGGGAGCCGTACACATCTAGGACTAGTGATTTACTTAGGCGACTTTGTATGGTGTCGGGTGATGTCTTTGGTCACCGTCTTGGGCACGGTTACAGTTCAGTTACGGTCTAGGTTCGGTTAAGGTTCAGCAAAACGATATACCGGCTTTCAGCCAGTTTGCCTTGTATGTTGTATGTTTCACAGCAGAAAGAGCTAACTTTTGTCCTCATAATATAGAATGCCAGTCCTATTTCATTATTACATATACCCAAGAATAACAGAGGTCAATGCCTTCTCATTTAAAATCGTCTGTGCCCTGCAGGGCTTTCGCCGAGTTCGCGCTGGAGAAGCTGAAGATGACGTGCGGCAACTTCTACGTCAACGACAAGTCCACCGGGTCCATCGTGGGTCAGCAGCCCTTCGGAGGCGGACGCATCTCAGGTCGGCCTCCTGTTTTCAGTCACTTTTCTTTGGTAACATGTATTGTGCTTACTGCTTAGTTCTTTGAGGCTCTACGCATTTTGTCATGTTTTGTGCTAAAGGGTGTTTTCTGAATAATATCCGAATATTGACAGTATGACTCAAGCTATTTTTCATTATCACAATGTGTACTTTAAGTGTTATTCAAGCTGCAAAGTGTGAAAACACTACATGTATCGTAACTACCATTACATACCCTACATCATGAGGTCTCACGAGTCACGATGTTTTCCCGTCCCTCCCCCCACCACGGCTATCACGACGTTAACCGGACCCCGTGTCCCGACAGGCACCAACGACAAGGCCGGCGGGCCGCACTACATGCTCAAGTTCTGCTCGCCCCAGGCGATCAAGGAGACCTTCGTGCCGCTGCCGCACTGGAAATACCCCTACATGGAGTAGGGCCGGCGCCGTGCGTACCCTTCCAACAACCCAAGGAAGTCGTCATCTGTCGTCGTGTGGTCAAGGAAAACATTGCATACGTTCAACCCCTGTCGATTATGTTTAAAATTGGATCGATATGAAAGGCCGTCTTTTAACTCGAGATTAGGTATATGAAATATAAGACGTTTAGTAACGACAGTGCTACTTTTTATGTCGATCTATTTCTTGTTTGTGATTTGAAACAATTCTGTCGACAATGTTCAGTACTTGTTTGTCACTACAAATTATTTTTTTCAAAATCGTCCTCTTCCTTGCCCGATTTATATGGCCCGTGGGGTCTGGAGCAAAGTGTAAGAAGCCACTAGCTAGATATGTGTGCCGCTGTAAAATTACAGGCATTGTGGTGTTTTCATTTTAATACAGGCACATTAATAATGTTTGTCTGAACTCAGACGTGTCTAGCATGTCCGGAGTTCAGGGTTCAAGCGATGTGTCAAAACGATCGAAGTTGATGCACCTGTCTATATTTATTTGTAGGTGTTTGGGGGCTCCAGCTATCTTCTGTCCAACGTACTAATTGGTCATTTTCGATTTTCTGTTAGGTGCACTATATGTTAATAGGAGTTAATTTACGGAGCTTATGATAACTCATTCAGTATGGCAACGGGAACTCTAAAAAGCTGCCTTACTTCGCCATTTATTGAGCGTTTTGTCAACAGCTAACGTCCTTTTATTGGTAAAAACGCAACTAGGTGTTCAGGTACAAGCTGATTGTAGGTTTATATTTTATTCAACCACGTAGATATCTAAGCATTTGTATCCGATAGCTGCAGCCGCTTTTTATCGGGCGTTCGATGTGTAGTTATTGTCAGTCCGGCCCTCTCTGTGAGCATGGGCCGTGACGGCGGCGCAGAGCCCTGTGACGAAGCTGTAAACCGGTGAGGCTCGTGTCGCATGGCAGTAATGCAAACCCGTGGACTTTGTGTCAGACTACAGAGCTCAGAATACAAACGCTGAGTAACTGAGTGTGTGGAATGAACGAGTTATCCCTAGCTAGAGAGCAGGGCAGGACAGGTCGTCCGCCATACCCTCTCGTTAGACTACCTCCGCCGCACCGGTCACTGGTCAGCTTGAGAGACGGACGCGGTATTGAGTGAATGTGTCATAAAACATCCAATTAACAAACGTTTAGCCTTGTCGGTTATACTCTCACAGCAGGCACAGTGACCGAGTGTTTTGATTAATGAGATAGGTGAACTAGTTTTAAACACTTTTATTTTCCCTGAAGCCGACAAGAATACGTTACACAAATCATATAAGAACCATGTACATTATGCATAGGTATATACTATGAATACGTTTACAGGACACGAATTCTCGCACAGCCATATTGATAAGAGAAGCCACCACAACGCATGGGTTAAGGATATGAAATTTCACGATAGCCCTTGAATGCTGGTAAAACTAAATGTCCTCCATTCATACCTCCATAAAATTATACCGAGTCCGGCTGCTGGCCCCGGCACTCCACTTCTGTCGTAAATCTAAAAACATACCTTAGTCTACAACCTAAAATCATGTCCACTGTTATTGTCATATATGACAGCGATGAGCATTTATGACCTGATCCAAATCGTCTTTTTCAAAGTCAACAAAATGTCGTTAAAGAACCTCATTCGTGACAGACAGGTGAAGCTTTTTCGAACATCTTGTATCGAACACGTACATATATCACCGAGTTTCGAACGTATACCATACTCGAGCCGTTAGTCATCGTCCGGCTCCTCGTGCGGCGGCAGTGTCACCAGTCCAAAGCGCGTGTTCTGCCGCACCAGTTTGGAGATGAGCACGTTATCATCGCTCGGAGTCAGCGTGCTCAGATGCGACGCCACGCAGGCGAAGCAAAACCACATCAATGGCAGCACGGCAAAGCCCAGCAAACAGTGCACACAGGTGAAGAACACTCCGAGGGCGACGTCCGAGGGGCGCGACATGACCACCAGGTAGATCCACACGATGGCTCCTGCCACCCATCCGACGGAGAGCAGGGCGGTGAGGACGCCGTACCACACCACCCAGCCGAGCACGAGCGGCCGACGCGCCGCGCGCACCCCACGCAGCAGGGCGCTGTCGAACGCCAGGTTAGCTCCGCCCAGCATCAGCACTCCGATGAAAATGTAACTCAAAAAGTACAGCTTGTCCCTCTCCTCAGTTGGAAGGACAATGCTGCAGTAGACGATATAAAGCACAAAGGAGATGATGAAGACGGCGTTGATGGTGATGTAGGAGACGGAGACGGCGGTGGCGGCGGAGCGCAGGACGGCGAGCTGGCAGCAGTTGGTCGGCGGAGGACAGCGCGAGCATCGTCTGCCGCCCTTCAGGGCGCTCTGTGGGATCATGGCGTTATACTTGCGGAAGGGCAAGTACGACGGCACCAGTTCTGCGGGTTTTAGGGCGCTGGCTTGCCGCTGTAGTTGGAGGATGTCGCTAGGTCGATGCAAGTGTTCCCTGAAAGCATTGCAGAATGTATCATGGAACTTGGAAGCAACCGTTAACCCTTTCGGTGCGTCTGACGAGAACTCGGGTTCGAAACTAATACGATGAGCCATCTCCTGTTACAAAAATATCATTAAGTTTTACTGAGCAAAAGAAAGTGAGCCACTTACCAGTTGCCGATTGTCTTCCCCACCATTGCACCTCAATAATACAGAACAGCCAATCGGAACCAGCTCCAAGGTTTCATACCGACTCATCGCCAACTATCAGTACGTGCATGCGGCACAGTAATTGTAAAGAAAGTATCAAGCCAAACAAGCCAAAATGCATGTACTTACCGGGTAACAACACCTCACTTTCCGAGGCAACATTTCTAGCAGCTCCGTTCGTATCTACGCTCACTCCTAGCTTCTCTAACGTAGAATGCTTCGTCACCACCCATTCTAGGAACACCACTTCTCCCAATATTAACAGCTTCAACAAAACACCAACAGTTGGATCAATCATCGACACGTCTTCCCATCCGCTCACAAATGCCCACAATCCTCACGTCTCGGCCGTCAGGGGCAGCTCAGCAGGGCCCTATCTCCGGCGAGCTCTGCACTCTCCGCCGCCCGGAACAGCGCGTTCGTCGGCACGGGCCGCTCTCCCCCGGACGGTACCCCGCCGCATCAACTGGTCAGCCAATCACACAGGCCGCCGGCACGGCCGCGCTCGTATACCCCTGCACTGTCTGCATGTGACATGACGAAATCGAGTCCAAGGTCAAAACACCCCGCCCCGACCCGGGCCTGCAGTGCATAACTGCATGTATGCACAGCACGGGCGAGAGAGGAACTTGCCAACGTGATGCTGCGAATATGGAAACCGGCTAGCGAGGATAAATTGTAAGGCATGGAAAGGAAGGAGAGAGAGAAAGAGAGAGATAGAGAGAGAGAGAGAGAGAGAGAGAGAGAGAGAGAGAGAGAGAGAGAGAGAGAGAGAGAGAGAGAGAGAGAGAAAGAGAGAAAGAGAGAAAGAGAGAAAGAGAGAAAGAGAGAGAGAGAGAGAGAGAGAGAGAGAGAGAGAGAGAGAGAGAGAGAGAGAGAGAGAGAGAGAGAGAGAGAGAGAGAGAGAGAGAGAGAGAGAGAGAGAGAGAGACTGATTGATGAAAGGGAAAATGTCGTTTCATGAATCTCAACTAAATGTACTTAAATTGTTGCATATGGCTTATTATGCATAAAAAAAATCAAAGAAACCTGTTATGAATTTGCTTCTATCATTTCGGCATTTCTACTTTCGGTCGCCTAGCGTTAAGCCTTTCAAAAAGATATTTAGGACAAAAAAGCTATGCAAGCGTAACGTAACGAGTCGGGTAAACAAACATTTCACTTGCAATTACATATCACTTATACTACACATTCATATGGCATTCTCTCAAGAAAACCGAAAGACCCCATTAACCCGCGCATGCCTGAGATATTTTCCATAACGCGAGTGACTGGGGGGGGGGGGCTCTACAGAGCCCCCCTCCCCTCCTATATCCGAAACTACTTGGCCGATCGTCAAAATTCAAGCGGCGCCTGATAGCCCTGGAAAAACTATCAGGGGAAACCTAATTTCATTGATCTCGAGGTCACCGATGGCGTCACAGGTCGGGTAAAATTAAAAATTATCAGCATTTTGGCTTGTTCACAATTTAGGCTCTGGCCGTCGGCTAACAAGTCCGATCAGGCTCATTTTCGGTTTACGCACTCCTCGATACATGCCTTAGATACCCTGAGGGTACATACCATACTTGTACTTGGAATTTTTAAGGTCAAGGGCAGGTCATCCTAGGTCACGGAAATTATATATCATGTATCGGTCACGTGACGCATGTTTTATGGTCCATTTTACTCAAACAAAGTCGTCTGTGTCATTTGAGGTCATTTGCAGATGAAAATTTACTGTGGTGAGGTCACTTTCAGGTCAAAAAGTCAAATTTTTGAAAATATTTATTTTTAACATAAAAGGTTCCTATCAGATGCAATTCGAGCTCAGGAACACATACCGAGAGGGGGCGGGTACGACCCCCCTCGCCCTTTCGCCTCTAGTGGAGCTAGCGGAAAAACGAGCGTGTGCGCCGTTACAAGACGAAGAGATTGATACCCGAGTTTAACCCTCGCCCTGGCAGGGCCTTTTCCATAACACGGCCTGGCAGGGGGGGGTCGATGCGACCCCCCCTCGCGATTGGCTCCTATGGCACCTAGAAACACCAAATTTGGTAGGTAGGTGGGCCCTCTGGAGTTCTCGCCCCTGTGCAAATTTGGTTGCTCTAGGTCAATATTTCGGGGGGTTTTGGGGGGTATAAATGTAAAAATTTCGCTAAAAACAGGTCAAAAGTGTTTCGCTTATAACTTTTGATCTAATTAAGCTAGAGCAAAAAGAAAAGCACCAGTGAACTCAGCACGTCAAGGCGCGTCGAATGATATAGTTTTTAGCTTGCTTAAGTGTACTTAAAGTTTTTCTTAAATTTTAAGTAAACTTAAAATAATGAATTAAGTTCAAGTTAACCAAATTGCATCATATCGCATATCATTCGATTCGGCTGATCACCAGGAACACAATGACACCATTTTTTAAGCTCTAGCGTCATTATGTGCCAAGTTATTGGCAAAAACGTCATTTGACCTCAGTTGACCTCACTTGACCTGACCCATGGATAAGTACACCAAACAAAGAAGCACCAAGTGACCTGCTGTTAAGTACTGTGGTTTCAAAGCACAAAAGTGATAGAACGAAGCGGATATCTCCAGTATTTTCCTAATTTATTATTTTCCCATAGGCTTAACATTACGACGTAATGACCTCTAACTGACCTCAGGTCAGTGACCTCAAAAAACCCGAACTATATGTTATACAACTCGGTGAACTTAGCACATCCTGTAAGTTTGAAGGAAATCAGTCCAACACTGTGAGTTGGACAGGTGCAAAAAGAAAATTGAAATTTGACCATGACCTTGTACCGGTTTTTCTGACCTGGTGACCTGACCCAAGGTCACCCAGACCTGAAATTTTAAGGTCATATGTAAAAAGGTTGCCCCATAGGCTGTGCCAAATTTGGCAACCTGACCTCATATGACTTTTAGGAAAAATCCGAGATGGGTATTATCGGCTTCCTCTCGTCACGGGCAACACGCTCTTTTTTCCGCTAGCTCTAGCTCGTTCAGGGGCGAAACGGCAAGGGAGGGTCCAACGGACCCCCCCCCCACACACACACACCCTTATACGTTCACGGCTGAAAAAAAACACCAATACGGGCGAGGGCTATGGTATATTAGATAAAAAGTTGAAATTTGGACACAAGGTGTCAAATTGATGCTGCTCGTGTTGATACCTCAAACGGTTTGGAAGATATTGCCGAAAAACGGAAAGGGGCTCTGTAGAGCCCCTCCCCCCCCCCCAGTCATGCGCGGGCTAATTCGCATAAGTGTGCTATGCATACAGTTTGCTTTCCCAAACACAACGTTCTAACTCCACATGAAAGAAGCCTTTATTCCTGTAGCAGCAGTGTAGAACTAAACCGACCTTAGTGAATACAATAGCACAGGAGGGGCATGTTGAGCTACTATGGGCTAGTGCAGCTGTAGCAATGTACGCACATATGTTACCAGCATTTTAAATAATATACTTGTTATTCATCGTGTGTTCTAGCGATGATATCCGCCGTATCCTCCTCCGTAACCACCGCCGTGTCCTCCTCCGTAACCACTGCCGTGTCCTCCTCCGTAACCGCCGTGTCCTCCTCCGTAAACACCGCCGTGTCCTCCTCCGTAACCACCGTGTCCTCCTCCGTAACCACCGTGTCCTCCTCCGTAACCACCACCGTAATCGCTGCCATGTCCTCCTCCGTAACCGCCACCGTGTCCTCCGTAACCGCCGTGTCCTCCTCCGTAGCCGCCTCCAGGCGCAGCCAGGGCAGCGGCCACGAGGGCGCAGAGCAGCACGGTCAGAGTAAAGCTCCTCATGGTGTGGACTGGAGTGGTGTCTGGTGGCGAACCACGATGTTGTTGATTGACCTACCACTGTGGCCGACATTATATATAGGAGTCAGCTGACCATGTGACGTCACAGGTCGTGCGCCGACACGGCACGGAGCCGCGGGGGAAAACGCACGCACTGGGGTAGGTGTGAAATTAGTTGGTCCACCTGCAGTCACACCCCTTTGAGCCGCATTACTTTCACGTGTTCTGGCACTGTACAGCTCACGTTTGTTTTAAATTGAATTCGACTCGATGCGACCCCCTCCCCAGTCGCGATTGGCTCCTATGGCACCTAGAAACACAAAGTCGAATGATATACTTTTTTGCTTGCTTAAGTGTCCATAAAAAGTTAAGCATAACTTAAGTACAACCAGCGCACCGACGGGGGGGGGGGTGGATATCCGCCGCCCCGCTGAGGTTTTTCGCTAATAGCGGGAAAACCGGAAATTTGGTACGACTAATCTCTCATCAATTTTACACATTGTGTGCAAGTTTGAACCACCTAACTTTTAAGGTCAGGTCACATGGTCACTTTGAATGACCCGACCTCAAGTCACCTTTTTGCAACTTTGTCACCGTGCCAGAGCTACAGTAGATGTCGGAGGCCTTTGAAAGTAGCAGGATGTTATAAGTTCATTAGTAGCTACAATTTGTACCTCCAGGCGCATATCTCGGAATTTTGATATCGATGACCCAAGGTCAGGTCAATTTCTCGACCTCCCCATTATAAGTCAATGGGGGAAAAATCAACTCTCTGTTTTTACCACTAAAACGGGTCGGAATGGCCCCATATACCATACATGACTTCATATACGATCAACCTTCACTACCTTGAGGTCTGTTTTGCTGTTGGGCAGTTGTAAGGTCATGTGACGTCATCAAAGGTCACCAAAGGTTTTTTTGCCAATAACTCCGTACAAGGACAAGATACAGCCGCGCGGATGATGACCCTCGAGGTCACGTGACCTGAAGTCAACCTTTGACCTTGACCTTTCGAGGTCAACACTATTTTCCGAATTTGAGTTATTTGAATATTTTCCCACAGGCTTAACCCTCGCCGGACCTATTGGTTTTCTACATACGCGCCGGCCGAGGGGGGGGGGGGCGGGTACGACCCCCCCCTCGCCGTTTCGCCCCTGGTGGAGCTAGCGCGTCGCGGAAAAAACGAGCGTGTGCGCCGTTACGAGACGCAGAGATTGGTACCCGATTTTAAGGTCCTAGGTCAACCGGTGACCTCTGAGGTCAGGTCAAGTGCCCCAGGGTGCGGTTCAGTTTTTGGTGAATAACTTCGCAAAAAACGGCCGCAGAGCGCCGATTTTGGCAGCATCGTGTTCGCCTCGCTCAGGCGCGTCGAATGATATACTTTTTGTCCGGGTCAGGTCAACTTGGGGTGTTGACCTCAGGTCAAGGTCAGGTCAGCACCCCCAGGTCACGAAGTTGGTCGAAAGAGGTCATGTCGCATATCATTCGATTCGGCAGGCCTTCCTGAGTCCATTGGTGCCTTTCCCGACTCGCTAGCTCAATTTGATCAAGAGTTATTGACGAAAAACTAATTTGACCTTGATGACGTCATAAATGACGTCACGCAAGGTCAACATTGCAAAAGTGACGCATCTAACCTTGCAAGGAGTGCATCAAATCACGATTCCGTGTGCTTGAGATAGTTGGAGATCGTTCCCGGCGCCAGAATAGCAGTTTTCATTTTTCCCCATTGACTTATAATGGTGAGGTCACGAAAATGACCTGACCTCATATGACCTTTA